TTCACTGAAGCTTGCATTTGTAATTTTAAATTGCCATAGCACAACTTTGTATTTATGAAGATGAGAATGATGCTTGCTATATAATCCCGATTTAACGAAGCCAAATTTGCTTTTCACTAACTTCTGGTCAACTTGAGTGACCAGTTGTACAAGTTGGAAGGTCCACAACACTACAGCTTACAAATCTATGGCTTACTTCTAAATGCTTTTGCCTCCGGAGAGCCTAATCTCAGGCTACGTCTCCCTACCCGCCAGATTGGCGGGTAGTGATCGATCTATCGGGGATTGATTTATCACGTCTAGTGTATACTCGATAAATCAATCCCTGATCGCTCTACCATCAACTCCTGTACTCCACTGCGGCAAGAGGCGGGAGCGGTGGCAGCTGACTGCACGCCGTGAGGATGCGAGGTAAGTCGACTTAAGATATGCAACTTCAGCTAGGAGAATAGCGTAGCTGAAGTCAAAGTATCTTAGGTCGATTCCCCTCCCTAGTGTAGACCAGGCCTCAGTAATAATATCCCTACACTCCACATTTCTCTTGAATTACCTAACTATATTATACATGGAGGGCTATTAAAGAGGGTAGTAAATTGAACCCAACTGACTTCCAAGGTTAGATAGAATGTACTACATATGTGAAAGAATAAGCTGGAAATCAATATTTCCTATCTTAGAAATATGCACTTACATTAGGGCTGAAAAATGGGCCTTTCATTGAGGGAGATCTCTCAGTTCCACTTTTGGTTACGTTTTCTGTTAGTCTTCTGGATTGCTAGAGGAGAAGGCACAGAGTTTAAACAGGGTCACATTCTATGTGAATTAAGGAAACTCACTTAGAGTATGAATAGTCTAGTGTAAGTTTTGTCTCAGCTATTGAGATCAATAGTGGCTTTAAAACTGTAAAGTACTAGAATGCACATACAGATCAGATCAGTGTTGAAAACTCAAATTGGGAAATGTTTAGTATTTCTATCAACATAATTGTGTCAATGTACAACCTTATATCCATGCTCATGTTTTAGCTTTAACTAGGGAATTTATTGTAAGCATGGACTTCATAAATTGAAATGGAATGTTACAGCAAGTTGTGCATAAACTCTGCATATCCACCCTGCAGAGCTTTGGAGAAGGACAATAAACTTATCTGCAAGTGATGCAGGCCTCTTCTTCTGTAATCTCTCAACATCTGGAATATATTACATACATTATGAAAGGGACACCTGTGCCATTTATTTAGTTGTCCAAGAAACCCTTACTAAGTTTACTTTCTTTAATTTTGAAATACAAGTTTGGTATAAGCTACTGCTACGTAGTTACTATTGTAGGTGTGCATCTGACCAGATGCAACGAACGTTAACAGCTTTCTAGTGCAAAACTAGTTTAACCTGATTAAGTTCTCTTTTCCCTCCCCTAATTCACAGCAGCTAGAGCCCACAAGCTCCTTAATTACCACCAGATTTTCTTCATCAATGTCTGGAGACCATATTCATGATTTCTATAAGACAGAAATACAGTATGTAAAATGTATTTGGGGTCTGGGCATGGGATTTCTGGGAACAATCTGATGCATATGAAAAGACTATACGACAGTTATCAAGCACAAAGATTAATCTTTACAAACGTCTATTAAATAGGCTTTGGCAAATAAGCCTTTAATTGTTTTGGGGCAAAAAACAGATCAGCCAACATAATGGGCACTTCCCTATTGGGTTTGAAAATTCTCTCTCCTTCCTCACATATCACTAGTGGAAAGTCGGTAGGCAAATAATGAGAGCAACCATCTAAGATTCCAAGGTACTCTTCCAGCTTTAAACAGGTCTACAAAGGTTTTCAGCATCTTGATAAGTTTAAAAACTTGGATGTTTCATTTCATAATACAATTAGTATTTGAAAATTTAAAGGTACTTCGCAATGAAAAATTAAGGCTAGCACAGCTTTTCATGCATGTCGTATTAGTAGTGTAGTTTTGAAAAAAGTTTACCTTTAAAATCAAGATTACTCCAGTTTATAATTACCTCAGTGGACTCCGCAGAATCTTCACTTCTGCATTTTCCACCATTTGTCTCTTTGGATAGGCTGTAGACTCTCAAGCTAGCTGGCAAGACTATGTTATCTGTTCCCAGGGCTTTTGCAGCATTAGCCTTTGCAATTTCTAAGAGTTCCCTCCTATCTACATAAAAAAGAAGAAACATCTTCTGTAAGGGTAATCATGGCGTACTGACTCACCCAAAAAGAAACACTGAGTCCAGTGCAAAGTCAGTTTACCCTGGAAAAAGTATGTTCCCAAACTAGTGTAAATTTATAGATACCATCCCCTTTAAACTGTAGTGTTTATAAAGATGGCAATTCCAAAAACGAACATAAAACGGGTAAGCAATCCAAATCAGATTTTCAGTTGACGTTCTAGGACAGAACTACAGCACCAAATATTAAAATTCTATATAAATCTAGCAACAGGAAAAGTCTACAAATGACTCAGTCTTGAGTTCTATTCCTTCCCACCCATGTTACGAAGCAGGTATGCTGCTACCCGCTGAATGCAAATACCTTTTTCACTTAAGTGCAGAGGTGTTCTGCTACGAGATCTTGTTCGTGATCTGCTTCTCCAACTTCTGTAAGCCTCAGGATATATGGTTCTCCCAAATCCATAGTATCTTCGGCCTCTTGATCGTGATCTGCTTCTTGAAAAGGATCTTCTATAATATGGTCTTCCACGAGACCATGATCTTCCATGAGACCAGGACCTGCTGCGTGATCTATACCTTGGAGGAGAACGGCGGTATCTCCTGTAGGTTCTAGGATGGTACCTTCCTCTGTATCGAAGGCTACGTGATCTTGACCGACTTCTGGAATATGATCTTGAGTATCTTCTATACCTTCTGGAACCATTTCTTCTAGCTCGTGATCTTGATCTGCTTCTAGACCTGCTCCAACTCCTTGAGGAAGTTGAAGACGTGCTTGAACTAGATCGTGAACTGCAAGATGATCTGCTAGATGATCTTGAAGATGATCTGCCCCGACTAGTTTTGGACTTTGAGCGAGAATCTCTCTCTTTTGGTGAGCTTAGAGTTAAATCATCCATGTAATTTGTCATATCCTCTGTCTTTTTGTTTGCCTGCAGTTTTTCTGTGACAGTGCCTTTAGAAATTGTATCTGTTTTGAATGATGTTCTAGAACATCCAGTTTCAGTTCCTGTTTAGAAAAAAAATTGGTTTAAGATTTATTCTTTGTCAACAAACCAAGGTCAACTTAAGTCTACTATACTCACAAAACTTAGGATAGCTAAAAGTGAAAAGTAAAACTGCAAAATAGCTCTTGAACCTTCTGCCCTAGACAGTTCTATTTACTGCTTTAACTTTTTCTCTGTAGTTAATTTCTTCCTGGCTTTATCACACACATTTCCCATAAATTAATGGTTTCAGAATGTGGCCAAATTCTCTCTCAGAAGCATACTGCTAATATGCAGATATATTTGCACATGCAGACAATTACATGGCATTAAGGCTAATGAAGTGCAGATTTTCACTGTATGACTTGTGCAGATGTTCCAACAAACTATTTTCAGTTTACAAGGGACCATTTTAAATGAAAGAAAAGCATTTCTGTTGTGAAATAGCAGTTTCCTCTGAAAGAAAGTTGACTACAGTGAATTGTACTGTCATGAATGTAATGCCAATGAACAGATCAATTCATATGCCAAATACCAGAAATTTTATAGTATTTGTATTTGAAAATTTAAAATACTAAATACGAATAGCTAAGATGGCCGCCATCATATACCAGCAGCCATTTTAGTTCTAGTTATTAAAATGGTACTGCATTCTAGGGAATAAATACTTCCCCTATCTCCACCTTTCAAATCCCCTCTTGGCTTTGCTATGACTGTGCCACAGTCTTCTGATTAAAGGAACTCCATTCAAGCCTGGCATTTGTATTTAGTGTTCACTGAATACAGAAGTTATCCAGCAAATCTTAGGACTTACTGGAACACATTACAGATAAGCATGAAATTTTTAATGTCAATTACATTTATTTCCTTTACTGTCAATATAGAGATGAAAAATGGAGTTTGCATACCCTACCTTACCTTTAAATAAATGCCAAGCTCACAAGTCCCAGAACAGGACACACCTAAAAGAGGAAGCCTGCAATGAAAGCTAAGCTCACTGTGCTGAGTGCTGTCTACAAAGAACGGCGAATCTGCAAGTGCCAACAAGTTCTCTGCATTGTACAGAACACAGGCACAGTGCACCTGCCAGGAAAGCTGACCTGCTCCACTGCCTGACTTGGGTGCTTCCATTGGCAAGGA